AGTGTATGCGTATGAAGCACGAGTACGCTTATGAAAAGTTCTAAATTTTCACACGCTAAAAACACAATACAGATATAAGGTAAAATTAAGATTAAGCAAAAACCTATGTGCTAATCAAACTTATGTTACTAACACAAACGAATATTACAAGTTATGAATCAAAAATAGAAATATTATGATTATGTAATATAAACTATCAACAAAGTAACAACCGCCTAATGCGCAACGAATGGTATAATAAACCTGTCATCTTCCAGAACTACATAACTGATCATCGATGAGTAATTAGAAGCAGAGCCCTTAATTGCCTAAACAAAGAACATTTCGTTGGTATTTCTGAGACTAAGTTGATACTTTATCTTCCAGGTCCCTGATATTTCATTAGGTATCAAATTCGTTTGCTCCTAAGGTCCAAATTTGATTTTTGAGAAATTAATGTATTACATGTTGATTGCACTGATTGCACACTTGGTGTGCTGATCCCTTTTAAGGCTATAACTAAGGATAACCCTCAGTTACTTAGCTTTGGTTACCTAAGTGCTCTTTGAGGTAACGTTTTAATTGTTCTTCACGTTTGGTCTTGTGCCATCTTACTAAAAGCATTCTAGACTTGATTTCATTGGCTGATACCCTTTTCAGTATCAGTCTTAAATTTCGTAAATTTTCGACTCAATCATGTTATGTTTACAAATCGTCCGTATAACAGTCATTTTTCGATTTAAAAGAATCAGCTGCGAAGAAGAGGTATGCAAAATGTCTATGATTTCTGTCTTGCCGAGATAAGCAGTTCTTCGAGGAAGAGTATTTTGAGACTTTTCTTAAATCGAAGGCCCTCCCTTCGAGGAAGGAATTCAGATTCATTTGTCTGCTGAATTTCAGAGACAAACTTGTAAATTAGCCTCTTTTTCCAGGTGCGATTGAACGCTTTCGCCACATCTAGGATGAGGGAAAGCGCTGTACATTTTTTGTTACGTATTCCCGCATCTAGGAAATTTACAATCCTCATTAACTGCTTCCTTCTATTCAACTTCTTTCTAAACTTCTAACTTGGCGACAGATCTAGATAAAGCTCGAGCTGCCATAAAATCAACCTTTCAAATAATTTTCCAACTCATAACAGAAGGCTAATCCAGCAGAATTCATCTGGCTTCATACGATTATTTTCAGACTTTGGGGGAGCAAGAATACGTTAGCGTTTTTCCATGGTCGAGGAAACTAAATGTGCATAAGGTACGCATTCATTACGCTCGTTAACTTTTCAGTGTCGTTTCTTGGTAGTAGTAATGCTAATTATTAGCCAAAATGGGCTTTAGTCCAGAAGTTTTGGCATTTTGCATCTGAACTATAAAAATCGGAATCATTTTTCAAATTGTTGCCATCAAATATTAGTCCTGCATTATAGTTAAAGAATATGGGGATCTGTAAGCCCGAATTTGGAACTTTTTTTTTATCTATTTCATATTTTATAAAACTAACGAATATTTTATTAAACTCAATCATTTTTAAAGCGTTCCATTAACATTGCATGCATCTTCAAGCACGGATATTTTATGCGTGAGGTTTCTTTACATTTCTTACTGGTATTATATTGGTAGTGTAGCAACACAAAGACGTTACGATGTCTAACAGTATTTTGAGTCAAATGACGTTGAATACCTGTATCACTCTTCAATTCCAGTTTTGAATCCTTCGCGGGAAAAAAAAAAACCGCCTCTTGGAGCATAATATAAAATCTGAAAACTTTCAGATTTTTTTCCTTGGGTTTTAATTTTGCATTATGTAATATTTGAATTCGTATTAAGCAGAGTGACAATATAATGAAATAATGTAAAAAAAATTTGTAGACTCAAATTAAGTAAAGCACGTTAAACGACCGAAAACTAAGTGTTAATTTAAAACATGGTCCTAATATGTAAATACGTTTCGTTAGATAAAGTAGTGAGTCAACGCCATTGTGTCAGCTGAGTAATAGCTAAGGTAATATTCTGAATTCTGTTCAATACAATGCTGAAGGGTGAATCATAATACCTAATTCACAAAGAACAAACAAAACTAACATTAAAGCACTAGAAATCCATAAAAAACATAGACCATGTGAATTTTTAAATGAACTATGCCAAACGAGACCGTCAGCTTTAAAGAACTTTCATGAATTTAAGAATTGAGTGGATAACGGTGTTGTCATATATCCATTATTTTGAATTTAAGAACTGCAACAAGAATCCAGAATTCTAGTTAACATCTGCTATTGTGTGTCAATTTTTGTATCCAAAATTATCATCTTTATATGATGTTATCAAGATGGGTATTATCCTGACAAAATGGAATGTAAATTCCATTTTGTTAGCCAATTCCAGTTAAGCTGCGAAATGCCAGACAGCACCCGGCTGTGAAGTGACAGATGGACCGATTTTAGCCTGGGGAATGGTAAATACGTGCGAGCCATATGCCCAGCGGTAACATTCGGAGCTAGCGTGGTCCCTATTAAGTGTTTTATCTTCTCGCAGTTGGCAGGGATAGGACCTAATGTATTTTCGCGAATGCATAGGTGCCGGCTTTGCTTCAGCCTGTAATTTTCAGCCGCTCATGCGGGGTGGTGGTTAATGACGCTGACTAATGTGCCGAAGTTCTCGGGTTCGAATCCTGGAGAAAAATGGGTCATTGTGAACGTATAGTGTTCGGGCGACAAGCTGCGTCGGAACTCTCTCGACAGGTTAATCGTAAGGGAAGAGTGAGAAACTTTAGGACCGCGGGCCGAAGTTTTCTCTCAGAATTCCAAATTGGGGAGAAAGCTGAACAGTTAGCTATGTACAGTAATACCTCAATCACATATACTACAGAGATTGCCCTAGATTCTACTTTTACATGTTTAATTTCATGCTAGCTTGACGCACTGATCAGCATCGAGGCCAATCAGCTCAAATAGATCTACTTTAGAGGTTTGCAGATTAGGAAAATGAGCCAACCTGTCTGTAATAATAGCAGTTGAAGCTGGAATGCAGCTAGGCGATTTTAAACTATGCTATGAAAACTATTTGAAATAGGTAATATGCTGAATTCTTTTAAACTTTAAGAGAGTATTTCTCAAAAATGTTTCTCATACTTGCACGCACTTTTAAATAAGCTATTGTGCATATTGGTTTTAAAATTTCAGGATAAGTACATGATGTTGCTAAAAAATACTTGTATTTCGTTATTTGAAAAAATTAGAAATTTTAACATTTTCACATGAATTGTATTATTGGCTTTTAAAACTTCATGTTGTCAGTACGCTTTGGTATCGTAAAATTTAAATGGGGGAAGAATAACAACTAATGACTTTTTATCGTAAAAATGAAAATTTTCACTTACTAAATTGTGTTGCAATTCTGCGCTCGGGTTCAAATATGAAATTTTCAGAAATAGAGTTTGGTTTGCCTTTCATACAAATGTTCCCTTTTAAATGTGTTAAATTAAGAAACAATTGTATATAGAGATGCAATGTTGAAATATGCAGTATAATGTATATTTGGCTTAACTTATTTAATCTCAAAATCCGGCCAAAATTGTAACTTTTTAAGGTAGCGAAAAAGATTACTTCCTTTAAGTCAGATGACTTTCACGATATATCTATATTGCAGGCGACTATTTCACGAAACAATGACATGAAAATATAACACTTCTAATTCAATGAACAAACTAAATACCTGTGACCGTAATTAAAATCACAGTTAACACCTTGAGAAAATGTTTTCTTGAAAGGAAATAAATTCGCAGAAGATTTGAAAATAAAGTTTGATTATCTACATCGCTTTTAGCCACAATATTTCAAAGACTAATTTGTCAGCTTAATTCATTCTTACATGTTTGCTTTCTCATCGAATTTAAATTTCTGCATCATTGCAAATGATTTCTTGAATACTGTAAGTTTCAATTGTAGATTTCGTTTGGTAAACTTTCAGTTTTTCATTAAATATTAAATTAGACTTGTAACTTAAGATATAGTTAACTTTCAGAAAAACCTAAAAATATATTGCAGTTTTTTATACATTTGGCATTTAAGAGTGGAAACAAGCTTTAACGTGTTTCATCCGAAACATCCTTAAGAATGTAAACTTGTACATTAGACTCTCGATTACGCGAGGTAATACTGGGGGGGGGTCATCCATTATTAACACAAAATCATAGTCTAAAAGCAATTAAACAGGAAATAAGAATAAGCCATGTTGTAATTAACAATAAACACTATTGAAGTTTTACATGCATTTTTAAGCAATTTGATTAGGAGAATTAAGTATGTTTGGTTACACAAATTCAATCAGTATTCAGAACTTTAAAAAAAGAAACCTAACCTGCTTATATTACTCTTGCAGTTTTATAAAAGTCGATGGGAAGCCCAAGACTTATGGATGTATACTTAATTCATTCTTTACCACTAATATCTTATTTTTAACAAATGCTATTTATAGCAGATTATGTGCAGTTAAATTGCGTACTATTGTCGACGGAAGCAGTTCCTAATTGCTGCAACATCTATTATCACTGCTATTGTCATAACATTTCCTTTCACTTACCCTAGAAATTTTGCTTTATTTTGATAATTTGCGATAGCAGTTTTTTCCTCCTTCCGCATTAAACAGACTTAACCTTTAAGACAAACCCAATAATATATCCTCGCTTAATTAAGTGTTCCTTAACGATATTTTTTCTTGAATTTATTATCTCAACAAATGAATAAAATAAGAAAATTCCTAAAATACACAAATCCATTCCGTTATGAGTTCTGGATTATTCAGATGTTCAAGTATTAGACTTCAAAATTAGGACATACTTTGAATTGGAGACAAAAGTAACCGAGTGAAATCAATTTGACTACAAAATTTGCAATTTTAATCTATAAAACAACAAATTATGAAACTGGTATGCATCAGATTTTAACTAATATTCAGAACTTCAAATGCGAAGTATTCGTAGCTGTGCCATAGCATACTTTAAAAATTAGATAATACATGATGACCAAATATCGAATAAATCAAGATTTTTAATTTAAGATTGCGATAGGTACATTAAAATTTTTAAAAGCTCCTCTAGAAACATCACGTTGTGCAATCTGGATAAATCAAAGAACAATTTGAAGATGATGTTCCTCTGACGACTGCGACTACGTATTCATCCATACCAGGGGAAGAATTCCTGAAATTAAACAAAGACAGTTTTAATATTCCAGTTTCATACCTGAATTAATATTCAGTACAATCAATGGAAAATAGTATTGCATCTCGCGTAGGTTTTATTTAATATGGAAATTTCGCTAAACGCTTCCATTGCTGAGGTATAATTTCTCGAAAGCCAAGGATATTGCCGAGCAGTAAAAATAACAAAAAATTAGCTTACATATTTACATCGGATAAAAGTCTCGATTTTTAGATCTTATTCGGAAAACAAAGTCTCACAAGTTCTAGTATTTATTGCAGCAGAGTTTTGGCAGATTTTACATAGATTTTATATGCAGGAAAATTTATTCTATTTTTGCGTATCATGAAAGAATTTTATAGCTAGGTAATGAATTTTCCCCATATTACTGAAAACGCATTGCCGCCTAAGGTGTACGTGGCATGAAATTTTACCTATTTGTAATTAATGTATTTGGATAAATTTTAGAAACAGTATTTGTATGGTTTCCCTTAGTTTCCATAACAAATTATTTTAAGTTTGGTAAATTTCCTAAAACCACTCATTTTACCCTCGCATTTCATCTCCAAGACGCAAATTCAAAGTTGGGAGAAGTGAGTGTAAAATCAGACGAAATGGGTAGTTTAGTTCAGAGCGTGATTTCGCTATCCGGCGCAAGTTACTATTTTGTCCTTGTTCTTACGCTAAGCTACCGATACAATTTTTAGCCATTTAATAAGTATACCACCGGGTAGGTTGTTAAACTAGCCTATTTAGCCAAATTAAATTGTTAGTCCAGCACTACTCTATCTTTGAATTCATTGTGAAATTCTTCGCAACCTTCACCGCAAGTCGTCTATGTTATTTAAGTACGAAAGTACTTGCATTTGCGTTAAGACTTTGACAAATGATGAAGGGTTTGTTTTACCCTTTTCTGTGCTGGTATTATTTACGCCTGTGTGAGAAATCGCTAGGTTTTTTGGTAAGATCAGATTACTTTATGATAGCGAAGACTGTCATATCTTACAATATAAGTAGTAGAAATATGTGTTCTCTTTTTATAACTGATAAACCTTAATTAGACGCTTGTGTGGCTTCATAAAATTTTATATCTTTCATCTAAATTCAATTTTTAGTAGAATTAGAGAATAACATGAACTTAACTGAATTTTTCAACGAATAAAATGGAAAAAAACTTTATGAAAATTAAGTAATCTTTGAAATAACTATCTTACAATAATGTTCACTCTTACCATTGCGAGATCCAAGATCGCCGACGTAAAATAAGCGGTGGTGTGAAAATTAGTTTGAATTCAGTACAGTCTAATAATTTTTTCGTTAACAGGCTGTAAAATCCTGAGAGCAAAAAGTATAGATTGCATGCTAAAAGAATAACTTAACTTATTTCGTTAACCTTATTGTTAACGAAATTTCTTGGTACAAGTCTGAAGTGGACACGACATGACTTCCTTGTAAGGCCTATTATATTACACACACTTTTTGCTGCATTTCATTTAAACTTATTTCCGCGAATTTCATCAGAAATTTATATCTCATTCGATTAATTCAACTGTTACCTCGCGTGTTAAAAAAACTCCTAACATCTTCATTAAAAAATGTAAAACACGGAAAAAATACCAAATACAGTTAAAAAAACTTTTTATAATTAAAATTAGAGTTTCTACACAAAAACAAACAATTCGGCCAGCGGGCAGGAAGGCATTTTTCGGTGGACAAAATTCAAAGTTTAATTTTGATCCCACTCGACAAAAAGGCACTGAAGCTGGTACACAAACTGAAAATCACTATTCTAAGAGTTCCAAATTTAAACAAATGGCGACTTCGTTAGGCTTTTTACCACTTAAACTTTCAAATTGTTGGTAATTCTATAACTATTGCATCCAGATTAAAGAAAGACATAAAAACCTTAACTGGAGCATATCATAATTCAATCACTTTTAAAGAAAAAAAATGTACAATTTACCAACATATTAAAATAAAAATTGAACTCGCCGAGCCGGGTAGCAGAATGTGTGTGTATATATTATATATATTCAAGACAAAGTAAGAAATTTAGAACTAATTTTTCACAAAAACAAATATATATATATATATAATTATAATTAAAGGGGATTATAAATATATAATTAAAGGGGATATAAATAGTATTAAAATTCTATTTAAATTTAAATTCAGAAAGCAAGAAAATAAATGTATATTACTTATAATTAAATGTGCACAACTAAATTTTATAGAAGTCTCATACAAAATTTCAACGTTTTGCGGCTACTTGTTCTTCAGTTATGCGATATATATATATATATATATATATATATGTACATATATATATGTGTGTGTGTAAATATATATGTACGTACAGACGGCAAGGGAAAAAAACTCTTCTGAATCCATTTTAAATTCATTTTATAATCAGTTTTGGAAAAAGTCTATTCCTTTCGTACATACAGATGTCACACAGATACATCATGCAAATGGACTCAAAAACTGAAAATTGGCATTTTCGTTTATATTACATTCGAAATTTTTCGCGATTACAATACTTCCTTCACTTCGTACAAGGAAGTAATAAAAAGATTAGTTACATTCATAGGACCAATACTAGTTACTGGCATATTAATCGACACGATAAGAAAAATTTCGAGCACAGTGTAATCGTGGATTAGAGAATTAGTGCGCATTTTTACATTGGTTTGTTTTGTTACAGCAAAGCACTCGAGGGCTATTTGTCTAAAAGGTAGGATGCTTTCATGAGATAATACCAGCTGGGCCATTGGCGAGCTAATGAACATCACTTTCACAAAACAGTCATGGAAACACCGCGTAGGGACGAACCGGTAAGTATCGAAACGATTTATGCAATGTCTACTGTATTCTGTAGTCTGTCTTAACTTAGCTAAGAATTATAATTATCGGTACTTTTCCGTTTTGCCGGCGCAGGCGATAAAGTCGCCAATAATGGTACAAACGATAGCAAACGGAATATCCTCGCTGGTAACCTTTTATTCATCATTTTCAAAATTAGTCGTAACCATTACTTATCAGATTGATTGTTTCTTTCAATACTGGCATACAATTACATAGAATTTTACCAGATAGTTCAGTTTTATGCCGGCAATCACACTGCTCACCCGAGGGCAAAAATATAAAGGCAAAGCAAGGGTTAAATGCATTCATTCTAATGAGAATGCACTAGCGAAGTAAAGCACTGCGGTTTTACATAATTTCCGAGCAAGCTATTCGTACGAATTGAAATAATTCTTGCATTTAAACTTGTATTCCAAATTAAGATTTAATTCGAAATTAATGAAAGAACTAGATTTTTGTAGTGTAGTTTACGTGAGATGAAATCCCCTGAGGTCACGTGATATGAACCGGTGAATCATGATGTTGTACCATGAAAGCATAGTAAATTCTTAAATTAATTAATGTCTTTTTACAAATTTATTGTCTTTATTTATTATCTTTTTTACAAAATTTTAAACGACATTAAAATGTTTATACCTTCAAATAAAAAATTCTTAGAGTTAACATTTGTCTACATTTTTTTATGTGTATACTGTGTGTTGTCGCCAATAAAGCCTGCTTGGCGAGATTTGCGCCGGCGAAACGGAAAAGTACCTAATTATCGATTCTATATAATGAAAGATTTTTTTTAAAATTATTTTTAAAGTACCTGTATACGACAGAAACGGACATTGTCAAAAGTGGTTGTCAGTCTGTACCAGCAGAGATACTGTCAATTTTATTCATTATCTGGCCTCTTCCACTTCCCAAAGAAATTGCTGTAATTAAGGTTTAACTGAGCTATAGGGTGATTCAAGCGATTACCACCGGTTCGGCATAATCACTTCCGAAAGAATTTTCAATTCAGTGAAGTGTTTACTAAAATTGAACAGCTATATTTAAAGCAATTATAATTATTTTTAGTAGTTCTTTTATTAACACCAGCAGTTAATTCTTGAAAAATTAAGATCATTCAAGCTTATAGAAAACTCAGCTTGTATATTTTTTAAATTACACTCATTACGTACGATGTCCAATTTTCTAAAAATGTTTAGTGAAATTCGAAAATTTAATATTCTGGCGACGTTCATGTGTTATCTAAAGCGCATAATTAAGGTAGTAGGATATTATTTTAGTTATATAAATGACTATTCACTAGCCGAAAATGAAGCACGCTAAACTGACTGATTAAGGACATTTAAAGAAAAATTCTATACTTGTAGTAATTCTGAAATTAGTTATATCTTTTATTTACAACTAACTGCCCTATCCAATCTTCAAACAAATAATATTCAAACTTATAAAGTATAAAATATATAAACCGTAATTTTCATTATTTTATCAAACACTAATTTACTAGCATGCCAGTAAAATTTTTCATTGCTAAATTTTTGCCTTTAGAATGAACTGCATTCCTCCACTTATTTCCAGAACACAACCGGAATACTTTACATATGACTATACAATATAATCGGATCAACGTGTTAGATTTTGTTGAACAGCGTCAAGTAGATTCTTCAATACCGGCAAACAAAATAAACTTCAGAAAATTCGATGGGTTCCTTTCGTAATTTTTCACGCTTTCCTTCTGAAAAGCTACAAACACGCAGGTATTTTAAAACAGATAAATAAATGCATCATAGATATGTCAAAAGTTTCGCTGCAGGTAAACTTGAATTTATTAAATATCTGCTGCAAATAGTTTCAAATTAACTTCTGTTCTACTAATCAATCAAAATAGTTGGGCAACTCTGCAACAGTTAACTACACGAACGAAAAAAAAATGTGTTTGAATGTTTGCCAGCACACCGCCAGCAGTCTACTGGTGCTTTTGGCGATGCTTACATTTTCAAAGCAATTAGATTTTTTTAGTTCCGGTAGACTAACATCAAATTGTTAACTGATTGCAGAATTTCTCGTTACTGTTCTGTTATCAGGGCCGGATCCAGAAATGTATGAATGCATGTATACATTTACATCTATATGCACATGCTCATACATTTCTGAATTTGGTACCGATAAAAGAACAGTATCGATTGCTTTGTCTCTGCCTTCATATGAATTATGCTAAATAAGGCATCAAATACTCTAAGTCGAATCATTTCCAAATTCTTATCGGTAATTAATACTACATTTCTACCTTACATATTCCGTCATTAGTGTTTTAAGGGAGAACTCGAATATTCAACTATATTTTGGTAAAATACGGTAAGCCTGGAAATGCTGGGATTACTACTGCTTCATTTCTAAGCAAATCTAACAAATGCACGGTACAAAACTCGGTAAAGTTTAACGGAAGACAAACGTTTACATGAGAACTTTCCTTAGGAAAAGAATTATAAAAAATTATGTAATGCAATTATGTGTTTGTTCCAATTGATTTTAACATGTTGAACCCCCTACAGTCTCGTAAAACAATATTAATAAAAAGTGAAAACAACATCTTTCTAGAAAAGTTGAGAGCAGCTTCTAGGGGTGCCACAATGCTCGCAAAAATAATCATTGGTGGGAAAATGGCGCTGCATCAGAGTGTAGTGACCAATAACCAAAATATTTATCACATAAGGCACGCATATTAGTCTCCAATGTCGTAAAGAGAAGAAAAATGTTTTTCTCAAATAATTTCATAAAAACTAGTTCAAAATTTGGTAAAAACCAAACATTACTCTCTTGTTTAAGATTAATCGTTTTACTTTAAATGAGGATGAAATCAAGGAAATTTAAATTTGAAATATCAATTTATATGATAGCCATCGATTATTTACATGTCTATGCGAATCAGACAGAAACAGCTATTTTATATTCATCTAAATCATATTATTTCAGTAAACCATAAAGCTATCAGAATTTTAATAATATTTAACTGTACAGCTTAAGGCCTATCAGCGGCCGAAAGATAAAGTCACTGAACATTGGTAGCTCAACCCAAATTCGATTTCAGGTGAGCGGTTTGGCTGCATGGGGCTTTTCATAGTTTCCCTCATGTGTAACGTGGAAACGAGCCAGTTTCCCTTAGAAAGTCTTTCACGAAGGTATTCCTACCGTTAAGCAGATAGCTCTAGCATGCTTTACCATAATAAAACCAAACTTTAATATATACCTTAATGTTTTATTTTTCAGTAAGTAATATGAATAACATACTTACGCTAAAGACCGCAACATTGTAGAAGCTATAGGGAAATTTACTTCAGTAAATTGTCCTACTCGACATAAAAATCGTGCAACGCATTCATTGCTCAACATCCTTGAAACCCTCAGCATGCTTCTTTGTAGAACTGACATCTGCTGCACAAACATGCGACTCATTATTCTTACACGTGCCATAGTTTCGGTAATAACATTGACAGATACATTTGTCATAATACTCATCACTGGGCTTATCTGGATACTCCTCATTAAAGTTTCAGCCATAATGTTATCAAAAACCTTTGTTTCTGAAGAATCCGCAGATCTCGCCATTAATTTGGGATCCGCGTTTTCCATAGTAGGTAAGCCAAGTTGCGACAATGGTCCAGGAATTAAAATTGCTGTAGCCACATATATGATGTAAGACAGAGCTGTTGCTATTAGAAGAGGCTTTATTTTAGTTATACTTGACGCTAGTATTGTGGTGAGAGCTAGAAGAACACCGTCGAAGGAACTGAGAAGATTAGTTTGTTGCAACAGAGAATTAATTAAAGAAATATATTCCATCTGACGAGCGTCTGCCTTATCGCGCTTTTCTAATTCATTTAAAGCAGTAGTAGCTTTCAAGATTAAAATTAAGACTAAAAAATAGTAAAAATTCTTCATTGTGACAATTTAAAAGGGGAACATAATCTCAAACAAACAGCATGCACATCGAAACTATTTGAAATGCCCTTAGGAATGGGAGAAAATGCCAGATCAAACTTAGGGGCGTTTCTCTAGCTTAAAACATATAATTTGCATAATTCATCATTTTCGATCATAATAAAATTGCAAAAGTACATATTATTCGTATTAACCTACTAAATTATAATTCTTTTGTTGCTAAATGGTAACAGACATTATTTATACTTAGTTTCCAGAAATAAGTCCTTAACAGAAATTCTTCTTTGGTTTACATAAAATATGAATGTTTACAGGTAAACAAAATTCAGCAGTTGTTTATACAGATTTTTAATTCCCTGATAATTCCTCAAAAGGAAATTTCATAATAATTTATACCACCTATAAAAAGCAGTAGAAAAAGTTAATTTTATAAACTATTTTATGCAAATTTTGAGCGATGGGTAAATTTTAACCATGTGCTACGTCACATCACAGATAAGTCAGCGAACATTACAGGGGGGGGGGCCCAAGAGCGATGCGCAGTGCAGGGAGAAAGTTATGCCACATACGCATGACGTCATGTGGGTGACATCGTTAGTTCTTGGCGTTTGTTTACTTTCGTTGCATCAACAGTTTGATTTGATTTGTGTTGTTAATTTGCTATTATACCTAGGCGGAAGTGGCAAATTGTGCTATAGCGTTGTGTCAGAATTATACACGTTAATACGTTTTTTGGCGGAAAACACTCTTTACAACCAGATAAAATAACTATTCTTTAATGAATTTATGTAGTTTTCATACATAACTGTGATGTAATTTTACATTTATTTTTCATTTTACTGCTATTTTACATTTAAATTGAAAAATTTCTCATTTTAAATCATTTTTTATCATAATCTTCATTTTGTGTATGAGACTTACATCGTAGTGAGATATTTAAACTCATGTCATGTTTACCAATACTGAGTACCTGAATGATTAGTTAATAAATTCGCGTATCCAACTTCAGTCTGGGTTAAGCTTTGCGAACTAAGTAAACTGATACATGCATCACCGTGAGGAAAGAACAATTTCTCGACCTCGCTATGATGCAAACATCGAATGAGTGAGTGACATATTTCTTTCAGTGTTATTTAACTGATGCATACAGGTATGTGTGATGTAATTTAATTGATATAACTTACACATGCTTGAACCTGAAGGAAAACAAATCTGTGTATAATGCTAGAATAAAAATAGCGAAAGAGTAAGTAAGATATTCTGTTCAGTGTTATTTAACTGCTGCATAAGTTTTAATTTTAATTCCATATAACTTGTTTTTAATTATAAGAGAAAGAAAAATAATTCAATATTGAACACATATTTCGAGTATAACAAAAGTATTTTAAGAAACAACCTTATAAAAATACATTAGTAATTAAAAATATTTAATTTGTGTACAGTCTGAATTTAAATTAAGATGTGGTGGTGTATTTAATTATGGCAAAGCACACTAGGGCTATCTGCGTAATAGGTGTTATGCCTTTGTGGAGGACTTTCTCAGGGAAACTGGCTCGTATACACGTTACACATGAGGAAAACCACGAAAACGCCCATGCAGCCAGCCCGTTCGCGGGATTCGGACCGAACTACCTGTGTTCAGCGACTTTACCGCTCGGCCGCTGGTGGGCCGAAACTAAGATGTAGGGCAAGTTTATTATTATTATTATTGTGCGTATATGTGTAAGAAAATGTATTTTTATTGTTCCATTTTTAATGTATGGAAGGAAGAATAGGATGCCAATATCGAAGATTATTTACTAAAGCAAATAATCACGTCAGGATAAATGTTATATAGAAATCTTGGGAGTGTAAAGGATTATAAGAGTACTTTTAGATTATACTGAAAATATATGCACTTCTGCTAAAATCTGAAGTGAATCAGTATGAAGTGACTTTTCACTTTAAAAAGAATGTGATAAGTATACTATTTAAAAGTATAATGACGGATATTAAGAAATTTGTAGAATTTTATGGTATTTAAATATGAATTTGTTAAGTCAAATCTTTTTATGTATATTTTGCTTGAGATATGTAATTTAAACTGAAAATCACGATCATATATTTCTCATGGAATGTCAAAGTTCATTTGTATTAAAAAAAAGTGCATGAGCAATGAAAATAAACAGAATAATACTTTTTGATTATGTTTTTACGTCTTAGCACTTATGCCATCATGTGTTCTGTTCAACAAGATTTATTTAGTGCAAAGAATACTACGAAAAAATATTCAAAAATACCTTGTTTTGCAATATTTATTTCCCTTAATTAACTTAAATATCGTTTTTCATTTTCTAATGCTTTCCTTTACGAAAAGAATTTAATGTTTACAATTATTTTCAGCATTCGTACGAATTCTGTGCATAAAATAAACATTTTCTTTAACAAAATACTTAATCGGAAAGTATATACCCGGTATTTCCGGTATGTATCTACATACACATATAAAATGATCATTTTGCTTTAGTTTACATTTTTTCCATTACCAAAATCATGTAGCACACGCGTCGACAGATGTATCTTGTCACTCGGCCGATGCGTCTTGTCTCCCGGGTGACGTCACTACCAGCAACCAATGGCACGCTTTTTCCGTTCCTGGCCTAACCTTAGTATATTAAAGAACCTTGCATTACAGTAACCATGAACGAATGTGGGTGATTTCTAGTTCGGCAACAGGTGGGGTGGTTTTTTTTAATTTCTGAGCGCCGATGCTGTAATTGAACCTAATTTTTAAATATTTTACGATGCTGTAATGGAACTAATTTTCAAGTATTTTATAGACATGAATATTATTCAAGTTTTAATTTATGTTATGTACTTTTTACCTTTCTTGAGTGCTTCCGCTCGACCATGGAACATTACTGATTATGACAGGATGGTGGACTTAGCACCCCATTCTTCTCCGCTCATGCAAACCATTGATTCCATGACTTTCACTTTTTCAAAAGCCCTTCAGGCCGTATCTCCAACACTTGAGCCATTTTTAAGTGTCGCTACCCTTGCCTACATTGGTTATGTTGGAACCGTAATGGCAGTTCCAAAGCGACTGTCTAGTGCTGGATTTCCGATTCTTGAAGACTTTTCCGAGGAAAAAAGATCAGCAAAATCTGCAAGTTTTGTTGATTCGCTCGCATCTGGCTTTATGAAAGACGTTATTAGCAAGACGGAAGCAGCTGATGTAATGAAGAATACTACCATCGCTGCAACTAAAAGAAGTATTGATACTTTAAGGAAAACGACTAGAATGGTGAATCTTGGTCTCAGTTCGCTGCTAGGAACTGTGAAGTACTTAATAACTTTATTTAGTCCAGACTGTCTCTCTAGATCAATGTGCCATGTTGGACAGTTCACGAGTATTCATTTACCTCTATTGGGATCCCTTCTAAGAAGAATTAAGTAAGATTATTGTTCTCTATTATTATTGCTGTTTTTATTCTCTGTTACTGCTTATAAAAGTAATTAATATTACGCTTATAGTTTAAAGTTTCGTTACTTTAGAAATTCCGTTACGTTTTTTTTCTTAATAGAAATTTTTTTCTTAATGATATAAATTTCAAACTATATTTCCTGTTTCTTTTTATTTAAGGAACGTTAATTACCATTGTAAGTTCTATTCCGTTTAAATAAACGTTGCAGAAAACTAAACTATTAACAGATGTAATGCAATTTTCGTCAGTGAAATGGTTCGTATTTCTGTAAATTTGAGTCAAGTTATACAAATTGGAACTGTAGTTTACATCTACAAATGATTTAAAAATTGTTTTATAAGCGCTGAATTATCCTTTCTTGAAATCTAATAAAATAGTGTTTTATCTTTCGTATTAAAAGTTTTTGAAATAAAAAAAAATTGCGATTACTTGTACTTTTCATTTAAATCTTAAAAAATGACCAAACTTAAAAAATTAGTTTCCTTAAACTGTAAAATTTAATGCATACCAAAATGTCCATAACTTAATTTTAAAAAGTAAATATATATGTACCAGTGTCACTATGTACATATAAGAAGTATGCAGTAAAAATTAGATTTCGAGGATTTTTGAACATGTCATTCATATGAACCGTGCTGAAGCAATATAAAGCTTTGCTGAAATGCTTTCTCCTAAAACTTTTACTGTGTTAAATGTCATTTTTAACAAGTGTTCTTCATTATAATGTTCTTTGTTTTGCATTTCATAAATATTTCTCTTCTTACTAACGAAATTTCGCGACCCATGCGCAATGAGATGGTCGATTTGTTAAAAGTCTAGGTTAATCTTTGGATTATGGTAACTTGGCGAAAATTTGGCAACCAACCCTGCTACAGCAACCTGCTAGTTTTGTTTTGGACGCCATTTTGTTTTCATGAAGTAAAGGCATGTGTTTTTTTTTTTTTTTTTTTTTTTTTACTCAACATTTTTTCCAACAATCTGTTAGCCGAATTACGCTTATACTAGAACTTTTATGGAACAAAAATGCTTAATCATGACGAAGATTAGGTGCGGAATTGGGAGAAAGTGCAGAATCGCAAACTGCTTGCCGCGTTTTTAAGAATTGCACATACACGGTATCATCCAGCCTATTTTCACTTAAAGAAACATCCTAGAATTGCACAAAAATGGCATTGCGCACACTCTTGACTTTATCCATGTACACTACCGAGTCCTAGCTAGTAACTTTTATCACCTTACCAAAATGTCGCCAAACTACCTGTTACCATATTCCAACGATTAGCCAAAGTCTACCAGCGTATCAGAATTTGTTTCATATTCATCTGTTACAGTTCATTAATTATAGAATACTTAACCATCGTTATTTTGAAAATAAAACAATTTTAATCTCACGATGACCTTTAAACGCCTAAGCAAAGCTATATTCAAAATATATTTAAATTTATATATTAGTGTCTATTTTCTAGTTTTTCCCAGAAATACAATATTTCTATTATAAACTTCGCAGTCTTCATTATAGTGTTGACTTCGCAATATTTGAAACTTTTTCAAAATATTTGGATCAAAATATTGGATTTAATAATATTGTAATTGAGTCTAGATTCTTAAGTGAAAACGAATCTGCATTTAATATTTGAAGTCGTAAATTAAATTTCTTAATGTGTGTGCGAGTTTGAAGGTAAAGGAAAAACTGTTTAATGAAATAAAAAATACTTCATCGAAAATGCAAATAAATGAGTCTTATTTTACAAACTACTTTGCATAGCGTAAAAACTGCTTTCAAATGCTTCAAAAGAAAAAATATGCGATTTTAGTTTTATACTGCAGTATTCGCTTTCTTGCGGTGAATATGCATAGAATGGCAGTTTAAAATCTGCATCTTATTTACTACATATTTACGAAATAGCATCCTGTTTGTTACCGAACTTATTTAAAAATGTGGTCTGTTTACGTAACAAGTTGACTTTAAACTGATATTTAAAAAAAAAGAAAGAAATTATAAACAAAATGGTTATGGAATAATCGCAATCCAAGGTTTAGGATTTTAAATACATAACTATATTTCATACTTACAATGCATTAAATTCAATAATTTTTTCAATCTTTTCTACCCGCGGTAAGCATTTGTAAATAATTGGATTTTGTATTTATGTATAAGTGAAAATGTAATATCATGCAGCCCTTAAGTTCAATGCATAATACCATATTTAGGTTTAGCAGTCCTTCTTGTTATTTTAAGTTCCTTTGAAATTCCTTTGCTCGCAATTAGTGTGATATTGCTTGGATTTCACTATTCTTGTGTTATAAAAAACTAAATAATTTGTAAGGTCTAAAATCAACTGTGGTTTGGTTTAACTACGGAAAAGTACTCGACCGTAAACTAAGGGAAAGGATTCCTTCGTGCATTACTTTCTAAAGGAAACTGGCTCGTATACATGTTACACGTGGGGGGGGGGGGGGGGAAACCACGAAAACGCCCATGCAAGCCACTTCGTTTGCCGGGATTCGATCCCCGAACCGAACTGTTAGTGTTCGACTTTACAGCTGGGCCGCTGGTGGAGCTGAAGTCAACAATGAGCATCTACGCTGTAATATTAGACAGTATCATATTTATGGTAATTATTTTAATTTGAGATGTAAGCATTAGAATATAATATAATAACTGCCTTATAGTAGCATATTATTTAATCCAACTGGTAGATTTCGGAGAATTTTAAAATCTGATAAATAATGCAGGCAAAACATTTTTGGAAGAAGCTTGAAATTACTTGGCTAATTACTTCCAAAATACAGAGATCCGTAGTTAAGCCTGCAATTATATTCCTCCTGAAATAAATTCGTGAAGAATCCTTGGTATTGTCCTGTTATCAGAACCGGATGCAGAAAAACTAGAGACCAAACATTTCTCTATACATAATATTTGGACAAGATTTTTAATCTCCGGCATTTCCTTTCACTTTCAATTAATATAATGGCCGACCAGTGACCGAGTGACTAAAATCACGAAATAGTTTTAACAGATCTGCAGATTAAATTTCGCTCAACAAGTCCTCTTAAACATAACATGCTCCTATGGGCATTTATTTCTATTAAAACTTTGGTACTATCAAACAATCCATCGTTTTTGACCACCAGTGACCGAGTCAAAGTATTCAGCTCTCTTATCTACTGGAACTAAGGTTGTTCGGTCAGGGCTAAGGTCCTGGCAGACGAGCTTCCTGCACGACGTTTCCGTGTTTACTACAAGCATGAAGTAAATATAATAATGAATCACTGCAGATATTTCAGGTGGTCAGAAAGTCCTAGCGGGTATTGCTTCGAGCAATCAGCCAGAGATCTATTATTCAACAACTCAAGTTTTTATTGCCCATAGTACATTTACAAAACTCAAACTTAACACGTTGATTGCTAAGTTATAAGAAAATTTTTAGGCCCCGAGCGCTGCTATACCATACGTCAATTGTTCCCGATCGTAGGAATTTAGATAGTCTAGAATGAAACATTTTAAGACATGCATTCAGTTTAAAATCTTTCCTCAGGAACGAAGTATCTAAGAAAAGGTTTGAGATTCGAAAATTGTTTCTTATTTTCCAAATATATATTGTAGTAACGACTGGCTAAAATGTTTTTATTAAAATTATTGCCCCAACTTTTTGCAATGTCTGAAAGAATAATTTTTAAATAAATCATAAAAGGGAAGAACCTGTTTCGAGGCTTATAAAAATTCGAATACTAGCGATAAAGAAGTCTCGACTTTTTTAGAAAGATAATTATAAACAAAATAACATCTACAGATTCTGATTCGAATATTGATAAATGCAGTGATAATACTCGTAAATATGGCGCAGATAGTACTGGTTAACAATTTTACAAGAATTTTCAAGAATAACAATTTTACAAGAATTCGTCGTTTAGGAAGAACGAAAATTTGATGCAAAAGAAGGCACAATGCAGTTTAGTGAACGAAATGAAATTAGCTGTCGGCAACAATAATTTTCTTTTAAAAATCATTTTTAATACCTACTTTACCTTGTACGTACTCGAACTGTCATCCGGATACGGGTGATGCGGCTTGATCAGAATTTTTGCAGTCGCCCGAATTCGGATGTCAGTGTTGGTCACTTGTCAAAAGTTATGTAATGCCTGCTGCTCTGAAACTTCACCTATTTACGTTCTCTCGACTTTTTCTGAAATACTGATTTAATAATTGATAAAGGAATACACGCATTACCTTGTGCGGGATTATACTATGTAAGGTGTGCTTTAAACAACATATTTATAAATTTCTATGTATCTAGTATCTTAACCTTTTTTTATAAATACAGGCATGAAAATTATTTTGAAACTATTTTCATTGAGGATGTACACCATATTTAATTCTATTACATATTTACGATAACTGTTTTCAAGCGTAAAAGGCTCAAAGTTTTCCTTTTGAGATTTGCCTTGCTGATGGTATGAGCCACATTCTGCGAAAGTTGGGGGATCATTTATTTTAACTCCATTTGAACAAAATGAAATAAACCGGGGTTTTAAATGATTCGAAAAGACTAAGATAACTTGGGTAAAATCCTAGAAGAGTCCACCGTTGGTGACAAACTGGGAAAGTGCAGAATCGCCCACTACTTCACGCGTTTCTCAAAATCGCCAGCTTGAAAATAACAAGTAAAAAAAAAAAAAAATTGCACAAACTCGGTATTCATGTACACATCACTTATTTTCACTTAAAAAACATCCCAGAATTGTACTAACTTGACATTGCACACTAACTTGACTTTGTTCATGTGCACATCAATACACGTCATATAAGTGGGCGCGACAAGGTTGTGGGCTGTGCTAGAAATTTAACCATAACTTGAATTATTTCCATCTTAATACTGCTGTAAAATGTTTCTATAAAAGCCTGTTGTAAAATAAAAGGTTTAATAACGTGAATTCATTTTTAAGCATCGTATATAAGGTGGGTATGATTTTCGGGACATTTTGAGACAAACATTTATACTCTGACAAATAATCTATTCAAATCTTGAGTGCTTTTAAGGCAGTTTCAAAGGAAGTGAATACTTATTCTGATCAACATGTTTTAAATATTTACGCTTTGAAGTCGAATTGGAAGCAGCTATGGTACTGTTCTGTTTTCAGGATCGGTTTCAGAAACGTAAGCATGCATGTAGGGATTTATTCATGTGTTCATATATGCATGCATGTGTGTAAGCACAAATGCATTTGCGTGTATACATATATATGCAAATACATACATACGCGCATACACTCGTACATTTCTGAATCCGGTCCCGATAATAGAACAGTACCGCAACTATTCGTACCATTAAAAAATTAGTTTAGTAACAATTGACGCTTACAGGAAGAGACTAATATTCTACATAATCTTGTTGGTTATACTTGCTCGTATGGATTTTGCACTCTTAAAACGTTTATATTTTTAAACTAGGCATTTAGCAAATGTTTGTTTTAATACCCAAACATGCGTTAGAGATCCCAATTTCTAAAGCAAGAATTATCAATTGAGACTATTGGCTAAATCTAGGTCAATAAAATTTATTGAACGTGGACCTCCTGATGCATACCTATTCAAAATTTCTCGATTTCAATAAATGTTCTTTCTAGTAACTCTAGTCAAAGAGATAGGCATGATATCTTGAAATCTAATCAGGAAAATCATCCTGAATTGAGCGGATTTAAGTGACATAGTTGCAAAGAAACTGATCAACAAAGATCACTCTCAGAATACCATTAACTTCTTGATTTATATGCACGTCCTGAGTTCCCATTAATATGTATTAGATTTTAAGGTTGAAAAATTTAAAGATTACATTACTTCATGAATATTTTTAAGTTTTGAATTTGTTTTAAAGGCTTTGAAAACTCTCATTTGTCTAAATTTGAAATAACCAGCGTTTATTATTTCAAAGTACATTCATAAATACTCATTAAACAAAACATTAGGCGTCACTTAACACCAACACACATTTAAATTTGCCATTTTTTGCAAAACGAATGGCCGATCTCTTCAGTAGCATATAATGCATCGACTACCGTGATAATTATTCGTATTTAGATCTCAAAGCCAATCTAATTTAATCATGTATATGTTATTTAAAATCCTAAGGTATAAGTAATCCTATAAAAAACAGAAACGCTTATGTATCCTCAAGTCATCTCGTAGTTGGTTGCTGCAAAGAACTTGTTGTACATGGCAACTACGAATTAATTCCTACTCATGGCGGAAATTTCGGCAACGGTCGCCAATTTTTACCTCTGAATTCTAAAAGATACGCCCATCCATAATTTGCGCTAAATCGCGCTACTTGGCCGATTGGACGGGATAATGCACAAAGTCAGTTCCTTTAGCTCGATAGATTCGGATTATTTCGTAACTGTGAATCAATATATTAAAATTTTTAAACTATCGCCAATTTTTCCCTATGATATGAATCACATCCGGTTTTAAAATTCTATTTATTTCAATCTGGATGACTATTTTTATACAATTAATGAATAAAATGCCTCTAAAATTTTCTTTCTAGTTCTTATGACTTGGATGACTATTCGCAAGCTTTGGTTGCTGGTACAACTATTGGTGACTGCAGTGCTGTGTTCCATGAATGTACTCTTTAGAAAGACTGAGTAATTTTCTTAATTTAATACCTTAAGCAAGCAGCAGGCTGCAAGAGCTTATTTGGAGCTATTTCATTCAGATGACTGCAAAGCTGAATCGAGCTTCATACTTTCATTTTACGCATTTACAAGACATGCTTAAATATTACATTCACGATAGTCATAAATTTTTAGTTCATGTTATGCTAATTTATAATGTGCTGTTAGTAGCATGTTTATCATTTCATTTACATTGTGTGTGTTTGTATTTTTCGCAATAATATAATAAAATTTCCTAAAATTTAGATTTCTATTTGGCTTTCAAAACATGCATTTTTGAGCTGCAACATGACATGTTAAACGCTATTTTCTAGCAGATGCTTCTTCTGTAATTAGAATGAGTATCCAGTACTTTCCTTTAGCATAAATATGGGCTTACAATTCTTTAACTACCAAACGTTCTGGATATCAACTTATACTGACTGCTCTTCAAAGTTGGATGCAAACTTTTAAATTCTAACAGATATATTAAATATTGGGGAGGATAAACAGCAGTCGCATATCCATTTATTGCTATAAATTTTAGTGAATTAAGACCATTAGCTAAAAGTATTTGTGTAGGAGAAAATATTTAATGAAGAATCTAGTTTTCATACATATCGGTATAAAATAGTATTAAAATAAATGTTCTGCATACAGGGTCCGACTTAGCCTAATTGGGGCCCGGAGTAAAAACTTCTTTGGGGGCTCCCTCTGCTTCACTACTTCAGTAATGAAGAACCGAACTTTATGAAGGTATTTAAATTTTTCACCTCGTTATAGATATATAGCAAGAAAACTGACTAGAACTTAAAGTAGCTATAAATTCCTCATCCCTCTAACTGGCAAACGAAATATTGTTCTGTCCATTTATTGAATTTCTGACAATTCTATGTCTATCATTAAAAGGATATAAGCACATCTGAACAGCTAAAATTTGATAAAAATGCTATTTATAATTAGGAAATGTAAAGACACTTTTAGCAATTTGAAATCACGTAAAATACAATACAAACAGTTAAGATACCGGTTGCAGTCATCACTATCCGTTATCATTCGATATTTCGGAAGGGATCCAGATAAATTTTCAGTCTTGCAAATGAAATTAATCAAAAGAATATTTGAGATTTTGTGAGAATTTTAAGAGAATACGACTTATAATTGATTGTTGTGATTTCTCAGTGTTGCGAAAATCCAACAGAATCCATTAAATACGATACAACTGAATTTTTTTCGGTTGCGATTATGATAAGCTAGTTAACAATCATAGCGCTGCAGTTTGTGAAATTTTAGCAAGTTTCAGAAATGCAGTTTCCCGATTGTTAACTTTGTCATCTAGCTGCGAAAAATTCATATCCTTGCTGACATTAGGAATTCAGCTAAATTTTCGCAATTATGATGGCTCAATTAAGCCAATCAAAAGCCAGTATTTTTGTAAACATCGTATTTTGCGACATATACAAGCTTGTTACTAGAGATCCTATCAAAATAATGACATGGAACGCTTGCAGCGTTCTGAACAAACTTCGCGAGCTCTGACTTTTTAGCTAATTATGATATCGACGTAGCCATGCTCACTGAGACATTTGCTACGCCTAGCTCAGTCTGGATATCCCGAATTATAAGTGTTATAGATGTGATGGGTTGAGTCACAGAGGTGGGCAGGTCGCCATCTATGTTAAGTAGTCACTGCTGTCCTGCCTAATTAGTGAAGAGCGAAATAATGGCCAGGAGTCGGTCACAGTTTGTCCTTCTCCCCTTTTATGGAGTTTTGTATTTCAATGCATTGTACAATTCCCCGCAAAATCTCTTGGAGATTAGCAGGCTGGGGAATATACTGTATACTAATAAGAATGTGATTTTGTCAGGTGAGATCAGTGCTAAGAATAAGGAATGGTATTGCCGGAAGACGAACAAGAATGGTGGAGTTCATTAATAATTTACCCTGTGGTATTTTTATGCTCCGAGTGAGTATACTTTTCTACCGCACAACCCACGTAGGGGTAATAGTTTGGATTTGTTCCTTTCACCCCTTTTTACCCAACTCGGACCTCCACTTTACTACGTCAGGCATTTATTTTATAATGTCGTGTGCCTTCTTGGCCTTCTTATAATCGAGCCGGAGACGTCGCGCCTTGCGCGATATTCCGGCAATATTCGTGCTGATAAGGATACAGGCTTGCGACATATACAGGTAAAAATACAGGCTTTTGATTGGCCAAATTTGTCCATCGTAATTGCAAATATTTAGTTGAATTTTGCCCTAGAAAGCCATGGATTTACGAAATATACATTTTTGTGTTCATTCGATAGTTTAATGAAGAAGGTAACATAAAACTGACTAATTTTATACTGATATTTAAACGAAGTTCATTAAAGAAGGAAACTTAAAATAAACTTTCTATTCGATTTTGCGGGGCCGTGGCTTAGTCAGGCTCTGGCTGCACAAGAATTATTTCAATGCCTATGGTTTCATAAAATTTAACTTTTGAGCTCCGCCGTTGCCAGTAATGCGACTTGACTTTTAAACTATGACCTTTAAATCCACTGTTGCTGCTACGGCGACACGCTTGTTTTGCTTAATTGAGCGCTTCTGTTGTATGCTTTAAACGTCAGAGAAAAGGAACAGGACGTGAAATTAATGAATTTTATCATAGTTGTTTCAGAAAACCCTACAAACATGCGGATGATTGTTTCTTAAAATATCGCACTGATAAATTGCAAAACGTAAAATTTTCATTCTGTTAAAGACTGTACACTTATTTAATAACGCAGCTAAGGAATAAATATCTTGTTTTATTGCAGGAAACTTGTTTTTATAATATATATGGGCACTTGTAATTAACAGTGCTGGAGTTGTTTGTGCATTATATGAGTCACTAGGCTGAAGTGCACAGGATTAAGTCACTAGGCTGAATATCTTGTTTTATTGCAGGAAACGTGTTTTTAAAATATATATGGGCACTTGTAACTAACAGTGCTGGAGTTGTTTGTGTATTATACGAGTCACTAGGCTGAAGTGCAAAGGGTAAGCCTATAATGTTTCCATTTGATGACTCGCTTTTTAATCGCATAAAATTTCTCACAACAAGCTAATATTTTTATTCTTGCCCTGTAGTTAGAATGCTTTCTTTGTAAGTCTGTTTCCCAAAATTTGAGTGCTTTCAATTTGTTCAAGTAATTCGAGTCATTCATTCATTCATTTATAAAGCTTTGACATGGTTACAGAATCAACATCTTGATCCTAAGAGGATGTAGATTTCCAGAATCTGAAAATCATAAACTTAGGAAGTTATGTAACAGAAGATAATATTCCTAGAAGATCGAATACTTTAAAAACTAAACACGTCCTCTGTTACCTTTTCGGGCAGTTCATCAAAAGCATTAATATAATTCAAACTCAGTGTATCGCTACTACTAGCCCATTGCATTCTTAATACATTAGTAGTGTTTAAGGATTTCTCTGGTATATCATTGTATCCTCATTTTTACGTAAGTCGAATTTCCTTTCAGCTAAGATGTCTGTAGCCATCCGTATGAAGTGAAGCAATTATTGATTCTTTTGACGCTGCTTATACAATTAGCTACACGAAAACTGTTCTTCAACTTTTCAACAAATTTTACTCAATATTTTAACTTCCTTTCGAAAGCATCTTTCAAAATGTATCCAAATGATATTTAGCAAAAATATTCCTTATAAAAACGGACCACTGGAGACGCCAAACATAACTCTACAGTTTGTGTAATATTTAAGTAAGCATATTGGCTTGATTCCATAAAAATCTCAAATAATCTGTGTCTTTATGATTAAAGCTGATTTTTACGAAAGCTTTTCGTATGTCAGATGTAACTTTTTTTTTTCTTTGTTCATCTGAAAACAATGATGAACTGAAAATATAAGTTCAGTAAGATTTAACCCCTTTTCAAGGCAGTTATTTAGCTTAGGTGCTCCTTTTTGTTTCATCGAAGCATCGAATAATGACCTAACTTTTGTTGTACTGTTTTCTTTGTTTACGTGATGATGAAGTAAATAATAAGACACTTCAATTTCATTTTCCGGCACAGACTCTATTGTTCCTTCTCGTTCCGCTTCACATGAAATCTTCCCCATATTCTTCATAACGATTTTCAGCTTACAGTAGAATCTTACCTCTTAATAGTTAAATTTAAATTTTATGGCAAGGGCAGATGATCACTAAACCACGTTAAGCATACTTGAAAACAACCCTGTTCATTTATTTTAACTGTAGATAAATGTTTTTTTGCTTCTAGAAGTTTTAATTTATTTTTCTTTCCTAAAAGATCTAAAATTCCCAGCGTGTCAAGAGCCCACAAATCGGATATCAGTGTCTTTTAAGTATTGAAGTGACAAGAAAAGTCGAATTATTTGAAATTACAGACGATGAGTTTCTGCCCATAACCGTCCATCCTAAATTGATCTCAATAGCGGCAAGACCTGAGGCAAGTAGCCTAAAACCCTCAGCCATCAATTTTCCCCAAATTACTATTTAATTACTTCCAATTAATATTTCTATTAGTCCATTTCTATGATCATTAATATAAATATGTTGTCTGCGTACGGGTTCGTACGCGATAAAAGGTTGAGTGCACAAGTCCGATAAAAGGTTAATAAAATTTATTCTTATCAAAAGAAATATAACCGAACGCTGGAATTTTCCTCGGAGATATTCGTACAAGTGTTCACAATTTCACGCAATATAATCAGTATTTATGCTTCAAACTACTGAAAACGTTACAATATAACGCAATGCAAAGACGGGTTCGTAACAGATTGAGTGCACAGGTTCCATAAAAGGTTAATAAAATTTATTCTTATCAAAAGAAATGTAACCGAACGCTGGAATTTTCCTCAGAGATATTCGTACAAGTGTTCACAATTTCACGCAATATAATCAGTAGTTATGCTTCAAACTACTGAAAACGTTACAATATAACGCAATGCAAAGAGAAAGCTAATCCGATCTCACTCTGAACTAGCAACAATAACAACAGTAACTAATTAAACAACTGAGCTGAGATAGTCATAGGTCATATCTTATCTTATTTAAGTGGTTTTTGAGCGCTTTGGCCTTTGCCACTCTATGTTGCGTATCCCAATGTTGCGAATACTAGAAATAATGAAAAAATAAAACCCAAAAATTTGGAAATTACTTTTACACCAGCTGTTTTACATCGCCAGTAGCAGAGTTGGAACTTTTAGCAATTATATAGCAATTTTATAGCATTTTGGTCATATCTC